GTTGAGATAACTCACTGGGTTTCAGTTCTTCAGGTGTGAAGAAGATTAAAGGGTTTTTGTAGCCTTTCATTGCTTCATTTGCCTTCAAGCTACTTTTTTAGAAGTTTTGCTGGAGCCTTTTAAGTATCTACAGATCCACTCGACCCAAACCCCCACCAGGACTCCGAACTAACCTCATTTTAAGAAGAAGAGATTTCTGCGCAGCTGTGATGTTGAACTTGTTACCTAGAGTCAGGATGAACACTTTAAATACAGTTGAACTCTTTTTCTTGCTGTTGACTGTGCAGAGTGCACGCATCCTCGACACAGTGTAGTAAATATGATTTAAAATGTAAATTTAAATTCACAAGTCTTAAATGGGTCTTTTCAAATATAAGAAATGACACAGGGTGTAAGGATGATCTACACCCACACACTGAGTATCAATCATAAACACAGCAAGGTGGAGCAGCTCAGTGGAAAGCAGATTATGGAAGCAGCTAGTCGTGGCTGCACAGGTAAGCATCCTGCAGCCAGACTGAGGCGACCGTGTTAAACATTCAATGTTTTTATGTCTAGATAACTCAGAAGCACCGCTGCAATGAAGCTACAGCCTACCTGCTGGAGATGAAAGGAGATGTTCATGGAGCATTTGCTGTCTCATTAGAGGTAACAACAGAACATCGAAATACCAATTCAGCTGATTTTATATAGCAACACTTGCACTTTAAATTGTAAGGTAAAGACTCTACAGTATTTATGCTCTAATCGTTAACCTTTTACCAGATTAACTCAAGACAACAAGCAGTGACCTTACTGCCTTACTGCCCACTTTGTTGGGCTGCCACGTTGTCACATCCTTTAGTTCTTGGTGGCATCAAGGTGCTGAAACATTCGTCAGAGGTTCTGATTGATCTTCACATTTCACATCAGAGGTCCTCTGTTGGGCTGAGCTGGTTCTTATAAAGTGCTTTTCTACTCTTCTGAGCACTCAAAGCGCTTTATACAACTTGTGCATTCACCCATTCACACCAGCACATTTTTCTAAGTGCTTTCTAGCTAACATTCACACACATGGATGTATCTTGCCCAAGGATATTTGGCTAGGGGAAGTCAGGAATCGAACCACCAACCTTCCTGCTCTAGCGCCTGAGCTACAGCCACCCCGTTTGGTCATCAGAGTATATTCAGGAAACCAGTTTGAGATTATTTGAGCTTTGTGATGCATTATCCTGCTGGAAGCAGCCATCAGGTACACTGTGGTCGTAAAGGGACGGGCAATACTTCGGCAGGATGTAGCGTTTAAACAATGTTTAATTAAGCGTTGTGCGATATGACAAAATGAAAACATCTATTGTTTCATATTACACGCTATCGTTTGTTTCACGGCGTCGCAAAACTGTTTACGGCGATATTTTTTCCTGGTTTGGATGGTCACCGCATGGATGCAGGCACAGAGAAAACCAGAGAAAATGGCGGCTGTTGCAACTTATGTGTAGAAATGTATCGTTTAATGCATCGGTCAAAACACTCGACTGCAGGTTCACGACGCCCAGCTGAAAACACTTCATACAAGTTGAGCTGCCCAAGAGTCACTGAGCTGACAGAAAAAGCACTATTCTGTGATTTATATCGTTCTCAGGATGAGAACTGTGACATATCAGGATCTGAGATCTTTGTCGTGTCGCACAACTTAATTGGTGCTTAACCCTTTAAAGCCGGTCAGAGCAGCACGCTCTGTTTTGTGTAACTATTTTTAAATCCCGGCAGCACTGCAACCACGTAAGCTAGAGCAATAATGTTTTTTGCATATGAAACCGGAGGAGTTGTACTTACATCTTATGCCATCAGCTTGTCCTCGGTCACAGTTTCCTTCCACATATAACTTTGCAAAAACTGCATAAAAAGCACTTGCAGCAACAAAAACATAATATTCCAGAAACACGCTTTGCCGATCCGATCAGCTGTTTGTAACACTTCCTACGTTGGAATAGACGTCAGCGCGAACTATCGCATGTCCGCCATGACCTGCCCGAAACAGGAAGTGACGTCTTTTTTGTGGAAATGTAGTTTCTTACCATCAGGGCCTCATGAGCCTATACTGGTGTTTTTAAAAGTTATCTTTGACTTTATGACTTTCCGTGTCGTTTCTGGGATGCTTAGGACTCATATTGCACTGCTGGAAATAGTTTATTTTGATGCATATGCTGCTTTTTTGCAAATTTGCACTATAATATTTATTTTCGTTTTTCCTGCAGTGTATAAAAATTGGTGTATTTCAAAAATAAAACTATGAAGACACTCAAAATAAATTTCCTGTGGTGGGAAACTATTTTGTGCAACTTTTTTGTATTTACAGTTTTGAAGGATAAGCCTCTTAAATTTCTCTAACTAGAAATATATGTTAAAATTTTCAATTTTTTTGTAGTTTATTGCACTTTTTTTTGCAATTTATGTAATTACTATGCACTTAATGCAGACATATTATTAAAATCTGGGCTATAATGGTTGTATTGATGTATAGCAACTTGAAATGCTCCCAAAAATGGCTCCACAGCATGTAGAAATAAGCTCTGGCGGACTTGGTTCTATGGTAGGTCTTAAAGGGTTAAAGACCTAAAGTTAAAGCCACACACAAGGCTGGATGGATCCATGTTTTCATGTTTATGTCAAATTCTGATCTTCCTGTCTGAATGTTGCTGTAGAAATTGAGGCTCATCAAATGAGTGTTTCCTGGCTTCTGTTGTGAAAAGTGTTGCCTCAGTTTCCTGTTCTTAGCTGAAGTGGTGCCTCCTGTAATCTGCTCCTGCTGTAGCCCTTTAAGAAGAACTGGTGGTCATCTGAGCTACTGTCTCCTTCGCATCAGCTCGATACAGAATACCTATACCCCTCAGACTGCAGCATTAATGAGGCATTTTTGTTCACTGGGTCTCTGTAAACCCTACAAGATGGTTTTGTGGGCAAATCCAAGCCGATCAATCAGCCTGTCTGTCACCAACAACCATGTTCAAAGTCACTTTCCAGTTTCACTTTGAACTTCAGCAGCATTTTCATTCAACATTTTCATACTTCAAATACTGAAAGTTGTTACACTGCTGCTGTCTTATGGATGTAATTGTTGTCACAAGAAGCTTCTTTGCTCTCTGTGAAGACACTGAAGGAAACGCTGTGTGCTCTGACTGCTGAGAGCGACAGTGGAGCGAAGGATGGGAGACGGGACGAGGCTGTAAGAACTGAATCGGTGCTGATGAAGTTAAAGGAATCTGTGAATGACATCATTGTCTTCTGTCATCGAAGTTGTCAGGGCCTGGAGCAGAAACAGAGAGAGGTGGGTGCTGTGCGTGGGCATGTTTGCAGTGAAGAACTGACATTGCTAGTTATTACTTGTTCTCCGTATCTCACAGGTTCTCTGGTTTCCACTTTTGGACACAATGATGGCGTCTCAGAAACAAGTGAAGGGGCTCAATGCTAAACACACCTCTGACGGTAACACTCTGCGTGCATCACTACACATGTAAACAAAGATGCCTCACCATGACAACGCTTCCTCTCTAGTCTGTCAGATCTGTGCAGCTCTCTGATGACTTTTTGTCAATTTAACACATTTTGTTACTGATGCTGAGCTCCCTCGCTCAGACAAACTGACCAGTTCTGTGATCCAACGAAGCCAAAAACAGCCGTTGCCTAATGACCTGAACATGACGAGCTAGTAACCCTTTGTGCAGTGTCCAGTTTTATAGTGACTATAAGCTTGTGCTACAGCAGAGATGGAACAAATACAACTACAGTGTGAAACACATCAAGTTTAGGTTTTGATGTTAATGTTCAACCACAGTGGTGGAAAAACTACTGAGACTCTTTAGTTAAAGTCCTACCGCCACATTTTAGACTAGAGCGTTTAAAAATGTCAGATGATGAGAGTTATTTTGTCTGTATGTGCTCAGACAAAGCTCAGTGTGTCTTTGTTTGATAGAATATGCAGCACTCCCATAAAAGAATATGTCATTGGCCCCAGGACCAGTATCACCTCCTTCCCATTTTCCTTCCTGCCCGCTCTCAGTCGACAGTTCAGCAATGACCAGTGGGTCACGTTAGCGTAGCTCAGGAGATAAAGTGAAGCCTCTACTGCTCTGAACACTGATGCTTTGATCCTGCATGCCAGAGCTTGATACTGAATCCTGAGTTGTTCCTGTTGTGTTCATCGGAGTGTGAGTGCATGAGTGTTGGGCTAAAGGCACAAAAAGTTTTCACTTGCAGATTTTTTTCACTTATTTCAAGCAAAAATATCTCGTATTAAGTGAACAAGTGAAAATTCTCCAGATCCACGATGCAGCGTCTCAAAACAAGTTCCCAGATCTCACTGAAATGTTGCTCTGTAGCTGATTGTGTCTTATTTTAAGTGTAAGATATTTTGACTAGAAATTAGACAAATATACTTGGTAAGACTTTGAGCTTTTGCAGTGAACCCAGTGCAGACATAGTCCATAACTGTGAGAATGTCGGGGGGTGAGCAGTGTCATGAATATGCTGACGTGCTCACTGTGTGGAGCTGACGACATGAACTTTGTTTCAAAGGAAATAAAGCAGTTTAGCTCTAACTGCAGAGGGACAGTGAGTGTGTGCACTAAAGAGTATTTGAGCTGTGATTTTATTGCTCATCACAGAGAAAATTGTGTTTTTTTGTTGTTGTTTTTTATTGAATTAGTTGTTGGTGTGGCTAATTCATCGTGTCTGTAAATGTCTCAGTGCTGAAGGAGCTCACGATGAAGGTTCTCAACGCTATGAGCAGCTTTATTTCTTTACCTGCCATCATTCAACAGATCCTGCAGGTTTGTATACAGTCTGTCCATGCACACACACACACACACACACACACACACACACACACACACACACCCTTCATGTGTCTTGCTGCATGCTCAGTCATCCAGGTGAGTCCATCCTACCTGCAGCAGCATCGCAGACCACGCCCCGCCACAATAAAAGAGCAATTCTTTATTTAATTATAAACTTTGTCCTAATGATGTCATGTGTTTTAACTATTTAATAATAAAAAGGAAACATCACAAAAACACTTAAGGTCATGAAAATGAGATTTAGCGATTCAATGAGGCGTCCACCTTATTTATTGAAAAGTGTCGTTATCGGTGACACTGGTCCGTATTTACTTGGTATCGGATCGATGGCACACCACTACCTCCCAGCCCATTGTTCTTTCAGTGATGCTGGTTCAGTCATTGTGCAAATGTGCTGTTTATAAGGTCTGAAACCTGCAGTCAGCTGAGGCTGAGTCACCTGATGAGTGAAACGTTTCTCCCACTGAAAAACAAAACACTGCAGAGCAGCCAGTGTCCAGGTTATCAGGTCCTCCGGCTGAAGGATGTGCTCATCCACCGTTCATCAGAAGCTTCTCCTACAGCTCAATCTAGAAGTTATTCCAACATAAGCTTTGCTCACAGTCATGTGACAGCTGATTACAAAAGTCTGTGCATTGTGACGGATCATGAGCCAGACGAGCTCCTGCATCACTGACGCTCTGGTCTCCCACAGAGAAACGTTTCACATGTCATTTTGTAGTAAATACTCTTGTTTCTTTGTGTGGTCTGATATCGCCCCAGTTTGACAACATTTCAATGATGTTAGCATTGAGTTTAATTCAAGCTAAGTTTCATTATTTGTACTTTTACTGTTTAACAACATGTTTGTTCAGACTGGTCAAACAGTTTATACAAACACAGCAATAATTATTTAAATCCTGATTTAGCTTCATCTTATTTGTCGGTGCCACAGAGCAGCATAAGATCCCCACATGCTCACACTGTTCACTGACACTTCACACTGTAACATCAGACTCCATCTGCCTGCTCGTTTGTTAGGATCCAGTGTACGGCAAAGGCAAGCTGGCAGAGATTCAAGGCCTCATTCTGGGTATGCTGGACACGTTTAACTATGAACAGGTAGGACGTGTGTGTGTGTGTGTGTG